GAATCATATAGTGTTTCCGAGATTGTTATCCAGAATAGGAATCATTTAGACTTATTGAAAATTCTGTTCTATTCAAATTTACAAGTATTGTATATTTTAAACTATAATTGTATATGTTATATACTATTTCAAGAACTGCTTCATATTAAGTTCACTGACTTTGTTTTGTTTGTATATTTTAGATTGCGTCATAATTTTTAAATTATTGTGTTTTTATTTCAAAATTATTCAACATTAATCCCATTGATTTAGGGAGTCTATAAGATTGATTTGCCATGCCCTGTCACATTGTTCATTTTATTACCCATAATTCTGTCTGGTTTGATTCATCACTCACCCTGACAAAAATACATTTATGTCATCGGGTCAGATTGACGTTGAATTATTTTTCTACGATGACATACTGCTTTCCAAAAATAATGAAATGTTTAGGAAAAATGTGGATATTTATTACATTTTACTCATTCCTGGAGCATTGACTATCCACCATCTTTGATGTTAACAGTACTAGAACACAATATTAGTTGATTAAGCATGATAATGCTAACCACACTTGTGTCTCATATAATGATATCAAAAATTCAAATGTTTGCAGGGGAGGTCGAAGACAATATAAAATGTTCAAAAAATCAAATTAAAATGGCAACCTGATGTTAAAATCTCACAGAATTATCGTCATTTCTTCATTCAAAACGCCCTCTATCACTGAAAATGGTTCTTTAGACTGTCACTGGCAAGTGTTGTTATGATGAATGAAGTGCTCTGTTGAAATCTGTGAAGGTGGCATTTGTTTTCACATTTCTTGACTACAAGGCGGTATTGTAGGTAATCAATAGTAGTGTACAATGGTTCAAATCATAATTTTACATTATTTTGCTGAAGGATGAAGTGCATTAAATTTGTGATGAAAATAATGCTATTATTTCTCAATTATATATATATTGTTGTTACTTTTGTTTTAATGAATATGAATGCAACAGTTTTCCACAATGCCTTTTGTCAAGTTGTCTTTATTCCACTAGAACTTTCAGACTTTTCATTGATATGTTTAATGGGATTGATTCTCTGTTAAGAGTGTATCCAGACACTATTATTATAGACGCATGTTTTGTCAAGCGTTGTTATAATTATTACACATGTTAGAAAATGTTATCAAGAAAGGTTTCTAGCTGAAGAAAAAAATGGAAATAAAAAAAAAATCTATTTTTCAAGCTAATGATTGTTCTTTTTGTATATTTATTTTATAGAATTGTTTATCCCTAACTATAGAAACCAAAAATCCATGTGGAATTCTCCTCGTTATAACTTGCTCCACAAATGCCTAGAATCTATGTAGTTTTCTACTCACTATACCTCAGTCCACTAATGCCTAGGTACAATGCTATTAATATCTTGTATGATGTCAGTTTAGAAGCTACACACACACATAATTAGTGATAACTATACTGATACAATCTCTGATGTTTGACTCGTGCTCACAATCAATCAAATTTATACAATCAATACCAGACCACAATTGTTAATTATGAGCAGTGTACCTAGGCATTTGTGCCGCAGAGGTCTTGTTTCTAAGCTTAACTATAGAGGGCACTCTTTATATGGGAATATAGTCGCCCCCAACATTGTACAAATATGGGTCAGTGGATACCCTGTTCACAACAATCTGTGATCCTGTCCATTACATTGTTGACTTGCAGTTTACAGTGAGTTATTCAAAATGGAAACTTACTTCATATACAAGACCAAAAAAGCATTTTTCTGTGCATAATTTAAAGTGACAAAAGCTATGATTTTGAACTTTAAATACAGCCACATAAAGATGACCAAATATTTGTTTAGAGACAATTGCATGGCTGAAGTGATCTTATAAACAAGGCTATGTCCCATAAAATAGGTGTTAAAACCAAGGTTAGAGTAGTTGCCATTTTGTTGAAATCAGTTATGTGATGAGATGACCACAAGGACAAATAAAATCATCAGAGAGGCTTAACTTATTTGACATTTTGCCAAGGGCCCCTGGAAAGTTGTCATTTAATGTAATCTCCGAGGTTTGCTTTATAAAATAGAGGGTGCCTGCCTTGGTGAGACCTTTTTATCTTTGCTGTCGACTTTTTGAGCAGAGCTTATCTTACAAGTGATGAATATTTTGGGTGAAAAGTGATATTTTCGACTATTATTGAAAACCGAGTGTCTGATGGCTTGGTATTGTGCATATAGATACTAAAGGTCAACCTCTCTGAGATTTGTTCATTTCATGATATCTCCAAAATTCCCTAATTTTGATGAATATTTTTGGTAAAAAGTTAAATTTTCGATTTCTTGTTGAAAAGTCTGATGGCTTTGATATCATGCATATAGATACTAAAGGTCGACCTCTCTGTGATTTGTTAATTTCTTCAAAATTCTTCAATTTTGATTTGTGACTTCAAGATAAAAACCGTAAATCCGATTGCTTTGATATCATACATATAGATATCTAAGATGGAACTTTCAGATATGTTCATTTCATGATATCTTTTCAAATTTTGATGAATATTTCTGGAAAGTGATATTTTCAACTTCTTGTTGAAAACTGTTTGATGACTTAATATACATATATTATACATATAGATACCTCAGGTGAGCAGATTAGTTTATTTTATGATAATATCTTCAATTCTCTAATTGATGTGTGCTAACCACAAAGCTATCTCAGCCAGAAGCTGCTTGTTTCCACTTGCTAGTGAT